CAGCCTCCACAGCCAGCAGCTCCAGAGGGGACAATAGCACCCTGCCCTGCCGAGTCTTCACCATCCCCCCAGACCTCCCCCTTACTGAGGACAAACGGTCAGTCCTCAGTAAAGGGCTTATTTTTGTCCCCCTCCACCCACACATCAACGAATACCAGTCACGTTTGGACATAGAGCAGTTTTTCCACCGCCTCCGCCTCCACGCTTACTTCTTCAACCGTGAACCTAACCCTCCCTCTACCGACCCCTTCTCCTGCCTCCAACACACCCCCTCCTCCTGGACACCACCCCAAGGCCTCCTACCCTCCCTCGACCTCTTCAACTCCAACTGCCGTCGAGACATCAATCGCCTCAACCTCTCCACCCCTCTCACCCACTCCAACCTCTCCCCCGCAGAACGTGCAGCCCTCCGCTCCAATCCCAACCTCACCATAAAACCCGCGGGCAAGGGAGGCGCAGTTGTAGTATGGCGCACTGACCTCTACATCGCCGAGGGCAGACGCCAACTCTCCGACACCTCCTCCTACCACCCCCTTGATCATGACCCCACCCCCGAGCACCAAACCATCATCTCCCAAACCATCTACAGTCTCATCACCTCAGGTGACCTCCCACCCACGGCCTCCAACCTCATCGTTCCCCATCCCCGCACCACCCGCTGCTATCTCCTTCCCAAAATCCACAAACCTGAATGTCCTGGTCAACCCATTGTCTCCGCCTGCTCCTGCCCCACCGAACTTATCTCCAACTATCTGGACTCCATTTTCTCTCCCTTGGTCCAGGAACTCCCTACCTACGTCCGTGACACCACCCATGCCCTCCACCTCCTCCACAACTTCCAATTCCCCGGTCCCCAACACCTCATCTTCACCATGGATGTCCAGTCCCTATACACCTGCATTCCCCATACAGATGGCCTAAAGGCCCTCCGCTTCTTCCTGTCCCGCAGGCCCGACCATTCCCCCTCCACTGACACTCTCATCCGCTTAGCCGAACTTGTCCTCACCCTCAACAACTTCTCTTTCAATTCCTCCCACTTCCTACATCCAAAGGGGGTGGGCATGGGTACCTATATGGGCCCAAGCTATGCCTGCCTCTTTGTAGGTTACGTGGAACAATCCCTCTTCCGTACCTCCACTGGCCCTAAACCCCACCTCTTCCTCCGTTACGTTGATGACTGTATCGGCGCCGCCTCGTGCTCCCACAAGGAGCTCGAACAGTTCATCCACTTCACCAACACCTTCCACCCCAACCTAAAGTTCACCTGGACCATCTCTAATATCTCTCTCTCCTTCCTGGACCTCTCTGTCTCCATCTCGGGCAACCACCTAGAAACCGATATCCATTTCAAGCCCACCGACTCCCACAACTACCTAGAATACACCTCCTCCCACCCACCTTCTTGCAAAAATGCCATCCCTTATTCCCAATTCCTTTGCCTCCACCGCATCTGCTCCCAGGATGAGGCATTCCACTCCCGTACATCTCAGATGTCCTCGCTTTTCAAGGACCGCAACTTCCCCCCCTCAGTGGTCGAGAACGCCCTAACCGTGTCTCCCACATTTCCCGCACCTCATCCCTCACATCCCGTCCCCGCAATAACAACCAAAAAAGAATCCCCCTCGTCCACACGTACCACCCCACCACCCTCCGGATCCAACGCATAATCCTCCGACACTTCCGCCATCTGCAATCCGACCCCACCACCAAAGACATCTTTCCCTCCCCACCCTTATCTGCTTTCCGGAGGGACCACTCTCTCTGTGACTCCCTTGTCCGCTCCGCACTCCCCTCCAGCCCCACCACACCCGGCACTTCTCCCTGCAACCGCAGGAAGTGCTACACCTGCCCCCATGCCTCCTCCCTCATCCCCATCCCTGGCCCCAAGAAGACTTTCCACATCAAGCAGATGTTCACCTCTACATCTGCCAATGTGGTATACTGTATCCGCTGTACCCATTGTGGCCTCCTCTACATTGGGGAAACCAAGCGGAGGCTCGGGGACCGCTTTGCAGAACACCTACGCTCAGTTCGCAATAAACAACTGCACCTCCCAGTCGCGAACCATTTCAAATCCCCCTCCCATTCCTCAGACAACATGTCCATCCTGGGCCTCCTGCAGTGCCACAACGATGCCACCCGAAGGTTGCAGGAACAGCAACTCATATTCCGCTTGGGAACCCTGCAGCCCAATGGTATCAATGTGGATTTCACAAGCTTCAAAATCTCTCCTCCCCCCACCGCATCCCAAAACCAGCCCAGCTCGTCCCCGCCTCCCTAACCTGTTCTTCCTCCCACCTATCCCCTCCTCCCACCTCCAGCCGCACCCCCATCTCCTACCTACTAACCTCATCCCACCCCCTTGACCTGTCCATCCTCTCTGGACTGACCTATCGCCTCCCTAACTCCCCACCTACACTCACCTTTACTGGCTCCATCCCCGCCTCTTCAATATGTCTGTTTCCTCTCCACCTATCTCCTCCTCTATCCGCCTCCCCCTCTCTCCCTATTTATTTCAGAACCCCCTCCCCCATTTCTGATGAAGGGTCTAGGCCCGAAACGTCAGCCTTTTTGCTCCTATGATGCTGCTTGGCCTGCTGTCTTCATCCAGCTCTGCACCTTGTTGTCTCTCATCATTTCCAACCTAATTTGTATCACATGCACATTTAGCTACCATGCCTTCACTCCCCTCATTGAAGTAATTGATGTAATTTGTCAAAAAGTGAAATTAGCTGAGGCCCCAGCACTGGCGCCTGTAGGACTCCTGTCATCACAACTTGCCAATCAAACAGGACTTTTGTCCAAGTGAAACAATTGATGCCATGCTTTCCATGGAAGCCAGTTCCAGTTCTGATGGGGAGCGTATGAAATGAAAAGGTAAAAGGAAGACAATAGAGAATTGTGAATCAGAGCTCATTGAAATTATCACATGGACATTTATACATGTTGAGTGTTTTCTGCAAACCAGCCAATCTTTTATCCATATCCGTCTATTATCCCCTACACCATGAGTTCCTAATTTGCAGAATGATGTTTTGTGGGCTCTTAATCCAGAGACCTAGGCAATGTTTTGGGGACAAAAATAGAAGTTGCTGGAAAAGCTCAGCAGGCCTGGCAGCATCACGCCATGGCAGATGGCGGAAGTTGAATTCAATACAAATATCTGAAATTAAGAGTCTAGTGATGACCATGAATCCGTTGTCGATTGTCAGAAAAACCCATCTGGTTCATTTGTCCTTTAGGGAAGGAAACTGCCATCCTTACCTGTTCTGGCCTACATGTGACTCCAGGCCCATAGCAATGTGGTTGACTCTTAAATGCCCTCTAGGGATGGGCAATAAATGCTGGCCTAGTGAGCAACGCCCTCATCCCGTGAATGAATGAAAAGAAAAACATGGCTGTGATTATGGAATAACTATTGAATTACAATAATGACAACATGCAACCGCCCATCTTGTTCACTAATGCCTTTTAGGAAGGGAAATTGTCACCCTTATCATAGTCTGATTTACATTTGATTTCATATCTGCCAAGGAGTGGTACACTGTTAGCTGTCCTCTGAAGTGGCCCTGCAAACCACTCTCACAAAGACAGAAAGTGCAGCAGAAACTCAGCAGGTCTGGCAGCATCTGTGGAGAGAGAAACCGAGTTAACATTTTGAATCTAGCCACCCTTCTTCAGAACTGAAGACGGGTCACTAGACTTGAAACGTTAACTCTGTTTTTCTCTCTACGGATGCTGTCAGACCTACTGAGTTTCTCCAGCTGTTTCTGTTTTGTTTCAGATCTCCAGCGTTCTGTAGCTGTTTGGTTTATTTTAGCGAGCCGCTCAGTTTGTATTCAAGAAGACAGCTCATTACCACTGCTTCGAAGGGATGGGAATAAATGCTGGACTTTCCACTCATACTCACATCCTATGAATAAGTATTTTGAAAATGTTGTGTGGAGCCAGTTTGTTTTGCAGCATTGTTGTGTTGTAAGTATACGAACATGTAAATTAGGGGTAGGCTATTCAACCTTACAGGCTTGCTCTGCCATTCACTAAGATCAGGACTAATCTGATTTGTGTTCTGACTTCCACACTGCCTTCCACCCACCCCCAATAACTGCAATGATAATCATCTGCCCCCTTTGTAAAAATATTCAATTACCCCATTTTTATTGCCTTCTCAGCTGGAGTTCTAAAGCTGCTCAAAAACAGAAGCTGCTGGAAAAGCTCAGCAGGTCTGGCAGCATCTATGAAGAAAAATCAGTGTTATCGTTTCGGGTCCGGTAACTCTTCCTCAGAACTTTACAGCATCTGCAGTTCTTTCGGTTTTTTTCTCTAAAGCCGCTCAACCATCTAAGAGAAAAAAAATTATCCCTCGTCTACATCCTAAAAGGGCAAATTCTAATTTTAAAACAGTGTCCCTACTTCTGGGCTCACCCGACGGAATAAACATTATATGTCCACTTTTTAATCTTTGTAAAATTCGAATTAATTCTCTGGATCCTTTCTGATACACGAATGACATTCTGAGGGTGAAAAGTTCTCCTAATCTTCTGGCTGAATGTTACAAATTCAGTCACTGTTGTTTCCCCAGGATTAACATCACAGTGCATTGTTAAAAGGAGACTGCTTCCTGCTCAGAATCACTTGTTTAGCACCTTCTCACCAACTGCAGGTTCCCCTCAAAAGCACAAACTGCCCTGACTTGAACCTACATAACTGTTCCTTTATTGTCACCAGCTCAAAGCCCTGGAAGTTCCTCCTCAGCCGCACTGTGGATGTACTAACTCCACGAGGACTGCATCATTTCAAAAGGGCAGCTTACCACTGTCTGCACAATTAGAGATGAGCGATAAATATTGGCCTTGCCACTGATGTCTACTTCTCACAAACAAATAAAAAGGAACATGAGGGGAGCCTGCAAGTGACCAATCAAAATTTACAATCAATGGTGGAAGCGATAGAATGACATTCCACTCTAACTTGTCGCCTTGTAATCTGTTTTGTTGCAGTGTCTGTCTGAGGCCATTAGCACGCAAGATGGGAGAGTGTTTAACTCTGAGCTCCAGACTCTCTACACAATGGTAACAGCAGCAAAGGGGAAGCGAAAAAGAGAACAAGACTCAGGTAGCTGCCTGCAATATATATATATATATCATGATTCAAAACCAAGTCCTGCTGAACTGATATACAGGACAGATGATCAGGATGAAAGGAATTGGCAGGGATAGGCAGTTAATCCTATGGCGCATGACACTGAATTTCCTCCCTAGTCACAACACTAATTGATATGAAGAACAATACACATATATTTTTGCTTACCCCTCTCACCTATCTCTCATTCCAGTGGTGTGTGCAACAATTTGCATCACGAATAGCATCTCTGCTGTGATAAAGAATTGCAAAATACTTCACAGGGCTGTAGCCAATCCAAACTTACTGCCAAGCTACAAAAGACTTAACAATGACAGGAGGCCAGACGCCTGGCCAAAGATCTAGTTTTTGAGGAGCACGTTTACGGTGAGAGAGGGAGAAGGGTAGAGGTGGAGAATTTCCTTTCTTCTTTCTGTCCTTTGGTTCCTGGCCCTTTCTTCCGCCCCAGATTCCTCCCATCTCTTCCCTTGCTGTCTGTGTTTTTCTTTCATCTCTCTTGCTCTTTATCAATTTCATTGGTTTCTTACTTCGAATGAAACGAGTGATGCCACACTTTCTATTAAAGTCAGTTCCAGTTATGATGGAGGATGTATGAAATGAAAAGAGAAGAAAACAGAGGAAGACATTGTTTGGAATGTGAATCAGAGCCCATGCAGAAAATTATCATTAGTACCCAAATTATAGAGGTTTATAAAATCATAAGGGGCATACATAAGGTGAATAGCCAAGGGCTTTCCCCCAGGATAGGTGAGTCCAAAACTAGAGGACATAGGTTTAACGTGAGAGAGTAAAGATTTAAGAGGGGCCTAAGGGCAACCTTTTTACCCAGAGCGGGGTGCGTGTATGGAATGAGTTGCATTGTACCTGATGCAGGTACAATTACAACAATTAAAAGACATTTGGCGAGGCACATGATTAGGAAAGGTTTAGAGGGACATGAGTGAAATGCAGGCAAGTGGGACTAGTTCAGTTTAGGAAATGTGATCAGCATGGATGAGTTGGGCTGAAGGGCCTGTTCTGTGCTGTATGACTCTAAGTGAGAAAGGCACCTGAGAAATCACATTATTTTCCCCTTTATTCTTTCATGGGATTTGGGTGTCACACTGAAAGCCAGCATTTGTTGCCCATCCCTTATTCCCATTGAACAAATGGCATGCCAGTCTCTTTCAGAGGATGTTTAAGTGTCAACCATGTTGCTGTGGGTCTGGAATCAACTGTGGGCCAGACCAGGTAAGAATAGGTAAGGATGGCAGATTTCCTTCCCTGAAGGGCCTTAATGTACCAGATGAGTGTATACAACAATCGACAGTGGTTACATGGTCACCATTGGGCTAGCTTTTCAGTTTCTTTGTTGAATTCAATTTACAGCATCTGTCATAAAGGTAAAGTCATCACAGTCCCACTTCCTCTTTAGAGAGAGGGGCGTCTGGTGGTGATTTAACCTGAGGGCTAACACGCCTCAGGTGAGGGAAGAGATTGAGAAGGAGAATCCTTGCTGATGTAGGAATTGAACCCACACTGTTGGCATCGTTCTGCATCACAAACCAGCTGTCCATGACCATATGCCATTGTAGGATTCAATGCCATGACCCCAGAATATTAACCTGGGGCTCCAGATTACCAGTCCTGTGAAATTACCATTGTGCCATTGCCTCCCATATTGCAATGCATTTAGTGTCAGGTGCATAATGGTGGCTGATTTCCTTCCCTAAGTGATGTAAGTGATTCAGATAGTTGTTGTAATTTTATACTCTTAACATTATATTCTAGACTGCTTAATTGAATTTAAATTCCACCAGTTACCATGGTGAGAATTGAACCTGTGCCCAGAGTACTGGACATGGGCCTCTCGATTACTAGTCCATTGATATTACCACTATGCCACCATGTCTCCATTAAGGCCGGAGGATGGGACCTGATATCAAAGTTCAGAAACTCGGGTGGTGAATTTTGGCTCTGCAGAAGGTTTAAGTTTGTTCAGAACGCTAAAGGAACCAGCCTTAGCATTGGGGCAAATGCAGTGTACAACACCCATGTCATAGTCAGAGAAGGAGTTAGTGACAGATCCACAGGTACAACCAGAACAAGTACACAGGACAGTTAATAGTATCAGAGGAACATAGAAGTTCCTAATAAAATGTGCAGAGAAAATCTGCATTTTTGATGCTGGAACAGAGAGATTGTATTGATCAGAAAATATTGGAACTACTGAAACATCATTCTCTAGGAAAGAGAAGGCTGAAGGGTCAGATGAGGACTTCCAAATTGTGGAAGAGTTTGATAGGGTTAGTTGTGAAGGTATTTTTCACTTGTGATGAAGACCAGAACGAGGGATCATAAATACAATATTATCATTACTGAGAGGATTGTAAATCTTTGGAGTTCTCTACCCCAGAGTATAGTGGAGACTCAGGCTTTCAGTCAAGGTTGATGCACTTTTGATTACCAGTGGCCCAAGAGTAATGGGTGAAAAGGCATTCAGCAATTTGATCAGCCATGATTATGTTGATGATGGAGCAGGCTTGACAGGCTGAATGACCTGTAGGAATCAGACAGGGAAATTAGGATAAACCTCTTTATCCAGAGACTAGTGAGGATATGGAAACTGCTACTACAGGAAGTGTTTGAGGTAAATAAGCACAAACACATTTAAGGATGTAGTGATTGGAACGAGGCCCAGGTAGATCTCATTGACTATGAGATCTTTGATTGGGATTGTTATCCTGAGCCAATCAGGGAGCCCTGGCTGACAGATATAAACAGGAGATTCAGAGTCTTCTCATTCTAGGGATTGGCTCTGAGCTGGCTGGTCAGAGTCCATGCACGGTGCATGGTAAATCAAGGGTGAGTTGTTGCCGAGATACTGGCCTCTGCACTGTTACTTCAAAGGGGAAGTGAACTAAATACGTGTGGGAGAAGCGAGTGGGATACAGTGATGGAATTGGATGAAAGTCAGATGAGAGAACATTCATTTGGAGCATAAGCACCAGCACAGAGCTGTTGGGAAATAGCCATTTTCTGTGCTGAATGTACTTTGTAACAGAAAAATGATAGTTTTCAGTTCTATCAACATTGTTACTTCTAATCCAAGATTAAATACTGAGCAGGCAGTGGGACAGCAGAGAATTGGAGACACAGTGGTAGAGAGGTAGAGTTGGGCTACTTCAATGTATAAGATAACCCAAAACTCAATTCCAATTTCAGCAAGATGAATGGAGACTTTGATGTTTTGTGAATTCCAATCAGTTGCAAATTCTTATGACAGACGGGAGTTGGTACCAAACTGTAGTATGTACAATCATCCTACCATTCCATAAGGTTGTAGTTGATCTGATTGTAACCTGAAATCCACATTCCCACCTACTCCCATTAACCTTTCACCCTCGTGCTTAACAAGAATCGATCTAGCTGTACCTTAAAATCATTAAACGATGCTGTATCCAACATCTTTTCAGAAAGAGCACTCCAAAGACTTACCCCTCTGTGGCATAAAAACAGTTAATTTCTGTTTTAAATTGACGACCCTTGATTTTTACACAGTAACCCATAGTTCTAGATTTTCCCACAAGCAAAACATCGTCTCCAAATCTACACCCGTCAGGATCTTCTGTTTCAATCAAGTTGCTTCTTACCCTTCTAAACTCCAGCAGATACAAGCCTAGCCTGTTCAACTTTTCAACCCATTCAAGGTGCTGGTCCAGTAGATCTGCTCAGAACTGCTTCTAACATATTTACATCTTCAAAACACAATCAATGATGGTGACCATAACAACTTCCATCGATTAATACACAAACTCATGTCCTTTGGGGAAGTAAATTTGCAGTCTTTACCCAGTCTGGCCTATATGTGACTCCAGACCCACAGCCATGTTGACTTTTCACTGTCCTGTAAAATGCCCTCAGTTCAAGAGTAATTAGGGATGGGCAATAAATGCTGGTGTTGACAGTGACACCCACATCCTGTGAAAGAATAAAGAAAAAAGGCTGTCTGTCATTTTCTTCTTTCCTGTTATTAATTCCTCAGGCTCATCCTACAAATGACCAATGTCCACTTTAGTTACTCTTTTTCACTAATCAGTAACCTGTTTTCCATTTCTCTCCAATTTTACTTTGATTGGGGAAAGGAGTATAAAATTGCTAAAACTGTATAAGGCACTTGTCTCAGACTATAGTGGAATTGTATGAATGTTTTAGGTCTTTTATCTAAACAGAGATATCCTGGCATTGGAGACAGTTCAGAGAAGGTTCACTGGGCTAATACCAGGTATGGAGGGACTGTCTCAGGAGTTTGAATAGGTTCAGTCTATACTCACTTCAGTTTAGAAGAATGAGGGGTGACCTTGTTAAAACATACAAGATTCTCAGTGGGTAGATGAAGAAAGGTTGTTTCCCCTGGTGGGACCAGAGGGCATCAACTCAGAATAAGGGGTTTCTTAATTATTATTTCTTAAATATTATTTCTTAATTATTTTAGACAGAGATGAGGAGGAATTTCTTCCCTCAGAGGTAAGTGAATCTGTGCAATTCTTTACCTCAGTATGTTATTGAGGCTGAGCCATTAAATATATTCAAGGCTGAGATAGACAGATTGTTAATCAGGAAGGGAACCAAGGGTTATGGGGAAAAGGCAGGAAAGTGAGGTTGAGAATTATCAGAACAGCCATGATCTCATTGAACAGCAGAGCAGACTCAGTGGGCTAAATAGCCTATATCTGCTATTCCCTCTTAACGGTCTGATGGTTATAGACACACAAGTGCAAGCAGACAGACACTGAAACACACACAATGATTCGTATCCCTATTCTGTCGTTGATAAGCGCAGGCACAAAAATCTCATAACCTTACTGTAAAGCATAAATGGACAAAACATGGACACTTGGATCAGTTGTGTGGTTTATTTTCTGAATGCATGAAGAGCTGGTTATGTATTATTCTTGAGGTTACCCCATTCAATTGCAGCATGTCTTCATCTTTTCAGAAGGGGAGGATGGTAAGAATCCTCAATCTAGTCTCGGAGAAGTACAAAATATAACTTCAGCTGAAACAAAGCAAGAAGTTGTCACGCCAAATCCTGAAGGGAGTTCAAAAGTAAAAAAACAGGTAGGTGAACAATTTGGGAGCTGTTTGACTGATAGCCTACCTATCATCTTTAGTATTCATTAAACAACACCATGAGCATTCAAAATCTTGGAAATCCCTTCCTAAGGGTGCTGTGGATGTCCTGTCACTACATGGATTGCAGTTGTCCAAGAAGGCAAAGATTTAACATGAGAGGGGAATAATATAAAAGGGACCTAAAGGGCAACTTTTTCATGCAGAGGGTGCTGCAAATGTGGAATGAGCAGCTAGAGACATGGTAGAGGCTGGTACAGTTACAATATTTAAACAGTACCTGGATGTGTACGTGAACTGGAAGGGTTTGGAGGGATATGGGCCAAATGCTGGCAAAAGGGACTAGATTAATTTAGGACATCTGGTCAGCATGGACGAGTTGGACCGAAGGGGCTGTTTCTGCGCTGTACAACTCTTATGACTTTATAAGGTATCGCACCACTATCTTGTCATGGGCCCTTAGGAATGTGCAATAAATGCTGACGTTGCAACAATACACATAGCTCAAGAATGAAATTTAAAATATACTGCATAATACATTTTGCAACAAAAACAGAAATTGCCATTACTAAAGAAGGGTTCCGTCCCGAAACGTCAACTTTCCTGCTCCTCTGATGCTGCCTGGCCCGCTGTGCTCCCCCAGCTCCACGCTGTGTTATCTCTGACTCCAGCATCGGCAGTTCTTACTATCTCTGAATTGCTGGAGAAACTTTGCAGTTCTGGCAGCATTTGTGGAGAGAAAGCAGAGTTAATGTTTCAGATCCAGTGACGTTGTTCAGAACACTACAACGAGGTTAACTTTGCACGAGATATACCAAAGCATGTTATATGAGGTTTCGAACAATCTACCATTATTTCCAAGTTATGCAGCAAATTTCAACAAAAATGGTGCTGATTCTGTGGAAAGCGAAACTTAACCATTGACAAGTTGAGATCTAATAAGAAATACTGGCAATTAATAGTTAATCATCCCACCAATTTCATCCAGTGGCAAATAGCAATAATTATTGATTCAGTAAGTGAGAAAGATTAAGGAGGTTGATGAATTTTTTTTTTCCCTATTCATTTGTGGGGTGTGGGCGTCGCTGGCTGGCCAGCATTTCTTGCCCATCCCTAGTTGCCCTTGAGAAGGTGGCGGTGAGCTGCATACTTGAACCGCTGCAGTCCTCCTGCTGTGGGTTGATCCACAATGCTATTAGGGAGGGAATTCCAGGATTGTGACCCAGCGACAGTGAAGGAACGGCGATATATTTCCAAGTCAGAATGGTGAGTGGCTTGGAGGGGAACTTGCAGGGGGTGGTGTTCCCATGTATCTGCTGCCCTTGTCCTTCTAGATGGAAGTGGTCGTGGGTTTGGAAGGTGCTGTTTGAGGATCTTTGGTGAATTTCTGCAGTGCATCTTGTAGACCGTACACACTGCTGCTACTGAGCGACGGTGGTGGAGGGAGTGGATGTTTGTGGATGTAGTGCCAATCAAACGGGCTGCTTTGTCCTGGATGGTGTCAAGCTTCTTGAGTGTTGTTGGAGCTGCACTCATCCAGGCAATATAGTAGGATAATGATCAAGATTAGCCAAACCAAATGGATTGAATGGCCTCTTCCTGTTTGAGCGTCACAAAATAGTGACAGGATTTGGCATGAGAAAGGAGAATAAAGGAAAATCATAGAAGATGTTCACTTCTGTGCTAATCTCTTCTCCCTGTTATATTTCAGGCATCCAACAGTCTGCGCACTTCAGCAGCCCGAAGAAATTTTGTTCTTTCCACCACAAAGCAGAAGAAAAAGAAAAGCAAAGGAATTTTTAGTTAATTTTAAAACTGATAATGCTGTTTTTTTAAGTAGAAAGAGGTGCTTGCCTTCACCACTCCCTTTCTATCTGCTCTCCCACTTCCCCGTCCCACCCTTTTATCACAGAAAGAGGCCATGATAGTCATGCAGTGGATGGTGTCAGCAGCATTTTTATACAATTTGTGAAGCTTCCATCCTCTTCCCTACATCGAAGTCTGTTCAAAGGCAACTTGCAAGAGGTCGAGAACTATAGCAACAGTTCACGTTGCAGCTCAAACTTTACCAAACTGTCTGAGGTTCCCAAAATTTGATGGCAACTTAAATTTTATACTTAAATACTTAAGTATACTAAATACTTAAATTTAAATCCCAGAGGTGTCCAACTCTTTCTAATCCCAGGAACTGAGTCTCTACAAAAGATCCCCTTTAAATATGGAGTCATGAACTGTGCCAAAATTATTAGACTTATCTGTTCCATCGACTACAGGAGTATACTTGCATGATGATGTTTGCCATCGTAGTTGTTTTCAAAGGACAACTGTTGGAGGCTGGTTGATTTAATTTTCAATTTACGGTAATAACCCCACCAGGAGAACAGGAATTACTTTAAATTCCAAGGTGGCAAAATTGTAATACAAAGTACAGGAGGATTTGAGGAGTAGGGAGCTGGATGACTATTGCTTCCATTACTCTGTAAACTGTGACTGAGATAGACTTGCTAACAGGCTCAGTTTTCCCTTTCAGTGCCCTACTTAAGGTGAAACTCTAGCAAGCAGGTCACCTTACCTTCCCCAGCAATTTACCAACCATTCAGGATGTGAACTAAGTGCCTGTGATTAGCCTGTAATTTTATTCAGAATAACCCTGATATCAAAGGATCAGTCTAACTACATGTCTGCCCTTATCTCTATTTAACTTTTAACTTTGCTTCTCTTTCTCCGCTCCTGTCCTCCATCCATCTCCTCTTCTCTCGGTTTCTTCATCTCGCTCATTTCTCATTCCATTCTCTTTCTCTTCACTTCTTTATTCCGTTTTATTCTCTTTCCTCTTAGATTTCTAGCTTTGCTACTTGATTTTTCATCTCACTCTTTTTTTTCTTCTTGTTATTTATTTCTCTCTCATCATTCGATTCTCATTTGTCTCTTTACATTTTCCTATTGTCTCTCGTTTGTCTTTTGCTTCTCTACACCACTGTCCATTCATTCTCTTTCCATCCTTCCTTTTCCAACTCTTCGCTTTTCGTCAGTCTCACATCTCCACCTGTCCATTTTCATCTCTTTCACTTCTTGTTCTTGGACCTATTTTGTTCCTCTGCACCTCTCCTTTGCTGTCCTGTTTCTTTCTGTCTCTCGGTCTCTTTCTCCTCCACCCTTTCCAGTGCATCTCTCTTCTCTTACCCAGATATACTATAACCATTTAAAGCAACCAAATTTTTAAAAAAATGATGGCTACAAAACTTTTATTACTTTTATTAAACTGTATATAAATGTATATGTATTGTCATGTTGGCAACTTTGGTAATAATCAGACTGGCAGGACCTCCTTTAGAACTTGTCAGTCAGACTGATGCAAGAACTTTATAATATGTTTTAGAAGATAATCAACTTTTATTAAACTCCCACTTGGTTCGGAAGTTGCAGGCACTTTTTAATTTCAGAACCTGCTAATCACTGTTTCTTCATTAGCAATTTTTTCCTCTTTCCCTCACCCACCCTCATCTCTCTGTTTCTAACCCAGTTTAGACATCAAAATTTATAGGTTCGGTACATTATTCCAAATTTAAATTAAATAGTTGCAAATTACCACTATACCAACAAAAGTAACTACTTTGTCTAATTAATTAAAGACTCCTCAAGAATCCCTACTCGGGAGCAACAGATGGTATGAATTTGACCAGCAACTGCTATCTACTTCATTTTGTACGGGGCTGATTTTACGTTTAATAGGAAACACTGAAAGCTGATTGTGATGACAAAAATCTCAACTGGAATTTGGTTTCAGACTCCTTTGCTTTTTAAATGACTTAACTATTGCTGCATGCACAATAATTGCCTCTATTCTTTATATCAAGATTTTTCCACTTCCCTTTTCTCCCCTTCCCCTTAAACTGGGTGCTATCATAGTGGAATGATGTGTGAATTGCTTGAGCTCTCTGCCTTTGATGTCCCTTTTCCATTTTAAAGATTGGCAGAGTGTGAAAAATCCTGCTGCCATAACATTGTGTAAATACGTCCTTAAACTAAATGTTGCTTTTACAAATCTTGCTTTTACTCCTTTTTTAAAAAAAAGCTGAACACCAAAATAAAGATTATTTTTAATTCACAAAAATGCTGGTCCTTTTTGTTTAGGTATATGTGTTTATTTATTTTTTTAATTTTCCTATGCCAACCAAAAACCCTTTGAGTTTAATATTATGTTTCCAATTTTTTCAGAATGGTTCTACATCAACCACGAAACGTTATGCTGTTTCCCACAAATTCAGCCTGTATCCTCGTTGCTTGCACTGTGTTGTTGACTATCAGGTATCTATCTAGGATTCAGCAGCAAATGTATGAAGAAGAGAGCTGAAGTAAGTTAAAGTAGTTGGTGGGGGCGTGGGTTTTGGTCCCCAATTTCTGACACTGCCAAAACCAAGAGAACAGGATGTAAGGCACAGGTCAGAGTTGCCCTTCTGTCTGGCCTCCAAGCATCAGAGCTCAAAAGAAAACCACCCACCCTACCACAACAGCTTGGTATCATCTCTGTGGTTTAGCCAACAGGCATTTGCCCAATTAGTACCAATTACTGCAAGAAGCCAGAGGCATTCCACTGGGAGTTGGAGACCATCCACACCGAGGACTTCAGCTGTCAAAGGGCGGAGATGGACATCCCCACTCCATGTTGTCTAAATTGGATTCAGTCCCAGAGGTGTTAACACACTGTTCCATTCCATTCTCCAGGGAACCTTTCATTTCTATGAATGCGGCAGCCTGTTACTTCTGTTCTAACAGATGAGCTGTGTTATCATTGTTAGTTTTGGACTCTTCCCACTGGCTGTATGCAGTAGGATACTTGGCCATATACGTTCTGATGGTCTCACCTATAACGCCTGTGCTTAGTCAGTGGTGGGAACTCTTGAATTTGATCCAGCAAAATGAATTTGGAAGGAGAGAGAGAAAGAAATAAGAAGTCAGCCAGAGTTCCCACTCTTAAACAGTACCAAAGACTTTTTCTGCCAGAAGGTGCTACGAGCAGATCAAAACAATAAGCATACCCAGCAGCATCTACAATCGAGCCGTACGTAGAAAGAAACTGCATTTTTATCACCTTCGCACCAACATTTGTTTTTCAAGTCTAGTTGCTGTCGTGATGTGGAAATGCAGCAACCAATTTAAGCACAGAAGGCTGCCACAAATAGCAATAAAATCAAGGGAATCAAGGGTTACGGGGAGAAAGCAGGAGAATGGGGCTGAGGAACTTATTAGCCATGATTGAATGGTGGAACAGACTTGATGGGCCGAATGGCCAAATTTCTGCTCCTAGGTAAATGGTCTAAGTTGTTTAAGTCAAGTTATTTGAGTGACTAATATCGGCCAGGACATGGAGCAGGGGAAAGCTTTTCTTTAAAATATCAATCAGGGATCTTTTATGTTCTGCCTGAAAGAGAAGGCAGGACATCGGTTTAATGTCTCATACAAAAGGGAACATGTTCAAAAGTGTACCACGACTGCACTGAAGTGTCAGCCCAGGTTATTTGCTTAGTGCTTCCTTCCGATTCAAAAACAAGAATGAAGCACAGTTGCCAAGCTTTGGTCAAAGCCCATATGGAATACTGCAGTGAGTTGTGGTCCTGCACCCTTGGAAGTATATATCGGCCTTGGAGATTCATTAGAACGACAACAGTCAAAAAGGCTTGAATCACATAGACAGGTTGCAGAAGTCTAATAAGTCCCTTGAGTTTAGAAGGTTGAGTGTTGATGACTGAGGTGTTTAAAACAGTAAAAGGATTTGAGGGAACAAGGTGTAGAGCTGGCTGAACACAGCAAGCCAAGCAGCATCAGAGGAGCAGGAAGGCTGACGTTTCGGGCCCAGACCCTTCTTCAGACCCTTTTTTTTCTGAAGAAGGGTCTAGACCCGAAACTTCAGCCTTCCTGCTCCTCTGATGCTGCTTGGCCTGCTGTGTTCATCCAGCTCTACACCTTGTTATCTCAGATTCTCCAGCATCTGCAGTTCCTACTATCTCTGAAAGGATTTGAGGGGGTTGGATACAGAGGAATTACTTCCTCGGATGAGAGAGTCAAAACAGAGGAGATTTCATGAACATTTTTGTCACATTAAGGGTAAAAGATAAGACCCTGCTCCACATACTCCCTCCAAACTGGCCCCACATCATCCAAAAGCACTGTGGGAAATTTGAAGAGATTTGTAATTGAAAACCAAACTGCCAAATTTATGTTACCATCTGGCTAGAAACCAGTAATATTTTAAAGTGAGAGACCCCAAGTATTAATTACTAAGAGAATAAAGCCACAACATTCTATTGTTTTGAACAAACAGCAATAAACTTTACTGTACAAAGGTAATGCAAGCTACTATACACTGCTAATATATTATGCATGCATACATACATATACCTTTGTATTCTAACATGCAATTAGAATTAAGTGGAAGTAAATACAAACAAACTGTGGTTGAACACCCCACAGAACACATCAAATAGCAAATATGCACAAGACAGATTCCTCAGTAACTACCCTTACCCCTTATCCTAACATTAGTGACACCGGGTTATTAAGTATCGATAAACTGTACGAGGAATTCCAGCTCTTCACCATTGAAGCCCTTGTTTCAGGATCCTCCGAAACATTATTCTATGATGGATTGGCTCAAATGATTGTTCCTATTATGGTGGTTCACTCTCCCAGTTGGGACTCGTTCCACTGTATTCTCGAGACTGCCCTTCATTTATTCTCAGGCACAATTTCTGCATTTTACAAATGCCTGCCTTCAAACCAAAGCTACCCCTCCAAGCTCTAATCTTACTCATCTGCATGATGCACATTCTGCTGGCTGTAGGATTTCTTCACTCTCACTGCACTGAGCTATTAACGACACATGGCTTCTACCGAGCCCCTACACTTCTCAGGGTTTCTCCTGAGCCCTAATCTCAACATCTCGCTGCACCCTCCAGCTCTCAGACTGTTCCTGAATCCTCATGTTCAGAGCATGCTACAGCAGCACCTTTTCAGAACAGAGCCTTTTGTCTTTGCTGACTGACCAGTGGTAGCGTCTGCCTGTATCCAACTAAGAAACTGAGTGTTCAGTAAAAACCGAAAGAACTGCAGATGCTGTAAATCAGAAACAAAAGCAGAAATTACTGGAAAAGCTCAGCAGGTCTGACAGCATCTGTGCAGAGAAATCAGAGTTAACATTTCGGCTTGAGTGACCCTTCCGCAGAACTCAAGGTCTATATCTGTGTACGGACACGGAATATAATCCAGTGGGCAACAAGTGTACATGGGCAAGGGTATTGAGGATTACAGAACCAAAGATGGAGTTAAGATCCAAATCAACAATAGTCTAATTGGTGAAACATGGTTGAGGAGTTGAATAACGTGTTCCTATGTTTAAACCCCACCGCAGAGATTTCAGTTTATAATCTGGCCTCATGCTCCAGCGCTGCGCTGACAGAGTGCTGTATTGTTGGACGTGCTGTCTTTCAGAAACGAAACTCAACTGAGTCCTCAGCTCTTAATTAGAATGAACTTCCTGAGGAAGTGGTAGATGTGGGTACAAGTACAATATTTAAAAGACGTTTGGATAAGTACATGAATATGAAAGGTTTGGAGGCATATGGGCCAGGAGCTGGCAAGTGGGACTAGTTCAGTTTGGGATTGTGTTTGGCATGGACTGGTTGGATCGAAGGGTCTGTTTCTGTGCTGTTTAACTCTACGACATAAAAATCCCCAATGCGTTATTTCAAAGGGAAGTGTGACAGTTCTCCTGGCCAATATTTATGCATCAGCCAACATTACTAAAACAAATAATCTGATTGGTACCTCGTTGCTTTTTGTGGAATCATGCTGTACACAAATTGAAATGTTTCGTACACTGCAACAGTGACCACACTTCAAATATCCAGTCTGTGTTTGCAAAGTGCGTTAGACATAATCGACCAATCCGCCCCTCCCCATACCCTCAGCCAAGATCATTGAAGGCGGCAGGAGCTTGCATGACTTTCTGTTGAACTGACTGTAACAAAGCTGTCATCCTCATATTGATTAGGCTTGACAACACAATGGCTTGACCCATCTTTGAATCCCAAACAATCGCACCCAGCAGAGCACACATTCAGGACACCCTGGAGCCGAGGTAGACTGCACTATCTCTGTCTTCATCCAATGCAAATCCCAGCTCAAAAGGAGATTCACTATCTACAAATTTATCAGTGACTTTTCATGAGATTATGATAAATCTCAGAACTTTTGGAGACTCAGTAATGGTCAAAGGGAATAGGTCCTGCAATATGACAGGACTTTGTTCGACAGCTAAAAAGAAGAGAATCCTTCACCATTCCTGTACTTTAATCTTTAACTTGCAAGATAAACAGAAATAATTCATTACTCCAAGATCGTTGATGGTTAGTTGTCCACGCTCTTCACCTTTAGAAAGCAAAGAGTCAGTGTTTTTTCCCTTGACTTTGGTAACATTTCCATCTCTGAGATCAAGCATTACAAAAGCAGTATTAATTTATTAATTTGAGTCAGATCATCACAGCAGCATCTAGCCTTCGGTATGTTGGGAATACCCAACCTTGCTTAACTCTCATATGAATATCTGACTTGACACTAAGGGAGAGAATGCAAACGGTCTGCAGGGTAACCTACTGAGCAGAAGTGATGACTTTGTTTGATTGTTGTACTCCCACCTTCAGGGTCAAAGGTTATGTGGTCAAGCAACACTTTCACTTTGAGCTGCTGGATGTAGGTGCAGTGCTGAGGGAGTGTCCTGTTTACCAGAAAGCAGTGTCAGCTTTTGGGACAAGACGTTAAATGTAAGACCCTTGTCAGTTCAAATTGGTGTAAAGTATCTCATAGCTCTATTTAAAGAAAAGCAGTCACGTTTTCACACAGTGCCTGAATGGTGATTACTCGTCAGTCAAAAATAGCAAACTCCATGAAGCATTCACTGTTCAAATAGAACAAAACATGGACAATATCCAGATTCCTGAGGGGTGACATTATAGAGATTTATAAAATCGCAACTGGCATGGATGGGGTGAATAGTCAAGATTTTATTTCCCCAGGGTTGGGCAGTCCAAAACTAGAGGGCATAGGTTTAAGGTGAGG